TTTTTTTTTTTTTAAATTTAGATTCTATTTTAAATATATACACACTGGAATCCAAGATCGACTCCTTCAATCAGCAGAGTATTGATTCCCACATGCATAACGTTTGCTGTCACACCGACATAGATAACAGGCTTGAAAACACCCTGCAACAGAAAGAAAAAACAAATGCAAATAAAGAAATCCGGTATGGAACTTTAACTGCACCATACATATTCCCACCTCCTTACCAATCATGATCAATCATTGACTGCCTTTGCAGGTGAATACTGTGACAATCGAATGCAGAGATTTTCGCGGTAGAGTAGAAAACGACAAGAGCACAATATGCGAGACAAACGAATCTCGAGCAGCATATAAGACGCGAATTTTAAAACTCCCTTTTTTGCCGCAAGGTAACCTTGCTTTGCACACGTATCTTGTTCTTCGCTCTTCTCTAGAATTTTCGTAAAACAATTTGCTTGTACGGCTGGCTTTACTTATATGTTGTTTGCCGCTATTCACTCTGTAATTAATACAAATTCTACAACAAGAAATGCGTATACTTCAGGGCCTTCACGAACAACGGAAGCTAATAAATCCTCCATCTCCAAAAATGAAAAGGGAAAGAGAGAGCAGTGACTGTGACTTCCCATGAACCTGTTGCACGGAGTATAAACTAGGGTAACTAGATTTTTCAGGTTTCTACCTCTTTTTTCATTGTTTTTTTTTGTTTTTTTGTTTTTGTTTTTGTTTTTTTTACGGATAAAACACATGTGACAGGTATTGAAATCAGTTCTCCTATTCCCCTGGTGTTTCCACCCACATATAGTCATGGTTTGACCAAGTTATTTTATATGAGTCCTTTGGTGACCAGACATTGCTCACTTTTCTCAACTAGGTAAACTTTGTCTTAACTGAAAATAGGTTGACGTAATTAACTGTTCTAATTTCGTGCGTATTTTATCGTCTCCGCTTGTTACAAACCTGTATCTGAAGATATCTTTGAATTAAAACAAATGCATAATCCGCCTGCAATGAAACAAAACAAACATTGCAGGAATAATGACTGCAAAGTAGCGAGGGAGTGGCAGCCTTAACGAAAAAGAAAAGTAGAACAATCAAAGATCGCATGGAGAAGGACAGTAGAAAAAGAACGCCTACAGGAAAGGTGGACCAGCTGGGCCAAAGCCAGGCCAAGGGGCGAGGCACAAGACAGGGCTGGTTGGAGGGCGAGAGTTGCAGCCTCATGCGCCTCCTGCTAGTTACACCCAGGTGTTTTAAAGCCCAGTCAGGATCTTGCTCAGGAAATAATGGATAGTGAAGTCAGTGACCTGGCGAGCACTCGAATCGCGAGTGTAATAAGGTGTTGGCTAGTCATTAGGTTACACATTCAAAGCATGCCGGGTAATTTTGTCGGACTGAACAACTTCGAGCAAGGTTGTTTATAACATTAACAATACTTACAAGAAGAGCTGGAAACCAAATGAAGACGAACAGCTGAGAAAGTCTGGAAGAGTATAATGTAATAAAATCTTCTTAGTTGAACGAATGTAGCAATAAAATAGGCTCTTTCGATTTTGTAGGTATCGTAACTGGTTTAGCAATCATAGCACTGCTTTGGTTCGTAGGCCTGCAAAGCGTGCGCATTGAGTTTGTGCAACGCGGAAGCAAATTCGACTGTCTAGCATTTACGTTACCTCGCTAGTTCCTTTTTCTGTTTCACAACCAACAACAGCGGTTCCGCATTTGTCCAAATGGCCCATACCAACAGCACGGCAATGCCTAGAACCCATGCCCCTCTCTGAAGCGTCAGCCCCACAAGGCGATAGCTCCTGCTCCGGTAAGCATGCGCACATAGAACCTCTATAGCTGTAATTAACGCCGAGCCAAGAAATGTTCCAGTGAAAGCAATGAAGGACATTGACAAAACTGTGGCTGCGAGCTCTGTCTCGCCTAATCTTCCGGCGAAAAGAAGGCTAATGGTGAATAAAGCATTATGTAGGAAATACGAGAGGATAGTCTGCCATGATAAGTTCAACAGCTGTTTAATTTCTTGTCTAGTTTGTGTAGACAATATCCTATGGAATGGATTTCTGATGATCGGAGCATTGCCATCTAGAGACATATCTTTATGGAGGCATTACCTGTGTGAAGATGTTGAATACAGTTTAACTTTAATTCTTGTTTTGGGTTTTTCGCATTTTAAAAATATATGTAATTTTTGAGTGCCTTCATAATGAGGGAAATCCTACGGTTTTTACAAATTATTTATTTTTCATAGCGGCACTGAAAAACTGATTCTTGCATAAAGATAGAGTCCAAACTTTTCATAAAGAGAGTGAGTAAGTTTAGATGGATCTTTACCCTTCAAAAATTAAAATATTAGTAAACTGAAGAATGACAATGATACAAAACTGTGGATAACTAAAATATTGAAATAGAGCGGCTTTGATTTAAATTTTTCTGTTATTCATTCTCTTCAATACTAAAAGTCTATCTTTCCTGTCAACAAAATTCGTTTCTCATTACTCCAAAACCCAACATCTACAATATACGTATACATGAATGTAAGATATTCCAGATAAAAGAACCACCATCAACAGATATATATCACTTTTGTTTGCGATGTCAGAAACTGTCCTGCAATTTTATCCATTATACGAATTCCTTACAGTTATAATGGAAAAAAAAGAAAAATTAAAGAGGTATATCGATGGTTGGGAAGGGAAAAAAATCAACATATAGCAGCTGAAAAATTCACGATTTCAATTCAGCTAGTGGTATTTCTCTTAAAGTCTGTACGGAAAGCAGTTAATATTGGCTTTAGGGACAAATGTAAATAACTTGCATCTGTAATGCAAGTTATACAATTATCTTCTGTTCAGAGGAAGTAATGAATGTATTGTTTCTTAATCCTTTAACAAGTACATTTTTCGTTTCAGTGCCTTATCATTTGTTAGCTGAATCAGTCCAAGCTGACTCTTTCACCTAAGGGTGTTTTCTCTTTCCATGTTTTATCTTGATGCCTAGGTTTACTAAGCCGAATCATAAAGAATTAGTCGTGTAAAAATTAAATTGTTTCAATCAGTTGCTCTGGTGGGAGAATTTTATCGAAGCCATGCCTAATTACTGAAAGCCTACAGTGGCAAGCCAGTTGGCTTTTGAACTCCGCTAACCAAGTGTGAACTTAGATTAAACTGCAAATAAAAATCAACAACAACAGCCGTCGTTGGGCCTAAACCGTCAATATGATTTTCTTTCCTAATATAACTTCCTGGAATTTCATTTTGGATAGCCTGACATAGATGATCAGGAGGCTACGAAATCAGGAGTATGACTGATTTTTGAAAACATATATATGGACCGCAAATTAAAGGATCGGAAGATCCCGAATTTTACCGATAGGACCAGAGGGTCCGAAATTTGCCGTTCTATTATTGACAAACCGGTTCGTTGCCCAATTTCTCTTCAGAAGCGGACTTCACTTAAATAAGGGATTAGGAAAAAGAAATGTAAGAACCATTTTTCTCGCTAGGTTTCATTAAGAGCAGTTGCAGTTGGTGAGGCTGGTCCAGCTGATAAACATGGAAAGCACCCCGTGAGTCAATTCTTTACGCTAGCAAAATTTCCACAACTAAGAAGGGCCAGTGAAGGGCTTGTTTCCTTAAAAAAATGATTAGATACGCGTTGTTTTGTCTACTCACTCGAATCATTTTATATCATATTGGTCTGCGGCTGGACTGGTCCAGGAAGGAAATTAAATACTTTTGTTTTGACAATAAAATAGAATGGATATTGAAAGTGTGCATCAGTCTACCACAACAAGTAAAACGACAAGATACTATGTCTATACTGACTTTTGTCGTCAAAGCCACTTACCCTTCAGAAACCGAGTTTCGCTTGAGCTTTTCTAGCGACGCTTTCGTTTCAGGGTCGTTTGTCAATATGTTCATGTAAGCCAGCGTTTCTTTATGTCAACTGAAGACACCCACAGCCAGTAAAAGTGTATGCAAAGTGTACTTTCCTTTGTTGTGCATAATTTACGTATTGTTCCCTAACACAATTCAGGCATTGGCTGTCAATGCAATAAAAGACATGTCAATGAATAAATGAGCTTACATGATTTATAATTGAAAGTTCACTTCATTTGCATTACGCACTATATCGCGAAGGATGTCTTGAAAATATTTAGCCAAGTACGTATATTTCTTCGTTTAGCTAGAACCCGGTGTTTTTCAAAGCAGAACTGAGTCTGTCCTTATTGCTCGACAAGGAAGTTCCCATGCGGTTCAACGATTTATTGAGACAGTTCGGATGGACAGTATAAATGTAATAAAAGCATAACCGGCTGTTAGATCGTGAAATATTGACTGCTTGTTAAAATTGTCAGCTTCAACCGCCATATTTATCCGAGGCGCGAAAGGCAATTGAGCGTAATTAAAATTTTAGCGATTTGCAAACTTTTTGGTGGTTGGATTGTTACTAAAATCTTTTGGAAATGGTTAAAACCTGAAGAGAAAAAAAAAGTCAATTAACATACACTTAAGTTTTGTTTTCTATTTCATCAATAGTCTGATTTACTTACAGCCGTGACTTTCCCAATGTCCCTTCACGGTCCGCTCCCTCGGGTTTCGAGCGTTGGGGACATTTTTCTCGTTCCACCAATGTCAAAATTTTAGAGTGTTCCCTTCACTCCCGAGCTAAGTCCATGAGACATTGTTGGTCTTATCGGTACGTATTCGTGTCCTGATTGGTCGAACTGCCAGAAAGAATATAATCATCATCATCATCATAACGATAAAGCACGAAACAGTTTTGGTCTTTTGAGAAACCTTTTAAAAAGACTGAGTCTGACTCGATCTTAAAGAAGTCCAATCAGGGGCGTAGCTGGGGGGGCCCTGGGGTGCCCGTGACCCCCCCCCCTTTTGTAAACTTTTTTCAAGCAAACAACCTCCATCAGGTAGCAAAAACGACATGACAATCTGGTGAGTACTNCCCTTTGAAAAATCCTGGCTATGCACCTGAGTCCAATCAATAAATAAAATGAAAACTGATCCTTACAGCAGGGCTGGAAGAAACGAAGGCAAGACTAAGATCAAAAAAAGAAAAACTGCAAAGTATATTTGCCCGAAATTTCGATTTGAAAAACAAGCTCCAGGTTTCCGCCGCGCACTCGAGTCCGGTGCCTCCTTTCTCGAACAACGGCTGGTAATCGAGCCTACTTCTTCAGCAACTAGAGAAAAAATGGGCGGTTTCGTTGGATGATTGTTTACTTTAGAATTCAAACTTTGAACAACTTCTTGCAAATCTCTACGGCTGTTACACGCCAAGTGCTCGCCGTGCTGCCATTTTTCCTTATCTCTTTTTTCGCCGCCCATGATCACCACTAACCAGCGGCATTCCCAATTTGAAATGATATTATGTGTAATAGTCACTAAGTGTCCGTCAAGCAGCTGCGTTGTCATGGCGGGCAAATTTCCTAAACATCGCTTGAGTTTCTTCGATTTTCTCTCGCACTGCGATCAAATTATCATCTTTGCTTAAAACCTTAAGTTGTGTAAGAACAGTTTTTAGTTGAAATTTCGCAACAAGAAGTTGTATATTTTGGTTAAAACGGAATCCTACCAGGAATATTTGAACCAAATATGGCGGAAACTCCTCAAACTGGAAGCCAGCTGTCCATGTCGGAGACTGCTTCAGAACCCGGGACAGGAAGCCCTGAAAGTTCTGTTGCTAAAACTCCAAGTGTGTCTATGTCTCCAGAAAGCGTTCCTGCTACAACACCAGCACCACAGCCAAAAGCTCAACCGTCAAAACGTCGTGGAAAAGGTAAACTTTGATCTTGAAATATTACCAAGGCTTCTTACCAGTACAATTTATGATAATGCTTTCGCAAACCACACGATGTTTTGTTATTTTTAAAATATAGGATATGAACTTCAAATACATCATGTGGTTTGTGAAAGCATGACCTTGTAATGAAATACATGTAAAGTCTTATGTCAGGGGTAGTCTGTAGATCATTTTGTCTGACATCTTAGTGTAATACTTCCCTGTAATTGAATTTCTTTTAATTCATGTTAAGCATAAACAAACTACATGTGTCACAGGTGTAAGGTTAGATCACTACTGTCTGTCGAATTTGATAGTGAGAATCGTGGGTAATCAGGGTAAACAACTGAAATAAATTAAGTATAAAATTGCGACACTTTCTCAAGATTCATGAAACGAAACCGAAAAAGTAGAGACACATTTTACAACTCTGACAAGTGAGGTAGGACCCCTCCTCTTCCTTGCCCTCTCCTCTACTCTCCACACCTTCCTTCCTGGCTGGTTCTTATTAATGTCTTCTCCATGTTATCTCTAGTTGATGATTGATTAATATTTCTGAAAATCTTGTACATTTTTGTTTTCAGAAGTGCTATATAAATACTGTATTTTT